CTTCAGTCACATGTCATCTTTTTCATACCATCATAAAGTTCATACTGGAGAGAAACCTTACAAGTGTAGTAAGTGTGGCAAGACCTTCAGTCACACATCATCTCTTTCATACCATCATAAAGTTCATACTGCAGAGAAACCTTACAAGTGTAATGAATGTGGTGAGGTTTTTAATCATAAATCAAAGCTTGCATGTCATCATAGATTTCATACTGGATAGTAACCTTACAAATGTTAAGAATGTGACAAAGTTTTCAGTCCCAAATTATACCTGGAAAGACACAGGAGAATTCATATTGGAAAGAAACGGTACATATGTAAGGTTTGTGACAAGGCTTTTGGGTGTGATTCACACTAGAGAGAAACCTTACAAGGGTATTAAGTGTGGCAAAGCCTTTAGTGGGCAGTCAGCACTTATTCACCATCAAGCAATCCATGGTATAGGGAAGCTTTACTAATGTAATGATTGTCACAAAGTCTTCAGTAATGCTATAACCATTGCAAATCATTGGAAAATCCATAATGAAGAGAGATCTCACAAGTGTAATAAATGTGGCAGATTGTTCAGAAATCATTCATACCTTGCAGTTTATAGGCCAACTCATGCTGGAGAGAAAGCTTACAGATGTCATGATTGTGGCAAGATCTTCACTCAAGCTTTATCTTATGCAAATGATAGGAGAATTCATACAGGAGAGAAACCTTGCTAGTGTGATGATTGTGGCAAAGCCTTCATGTTCACAAGTCATTAGACATCAGAGAATCCATATTGGGCAGAAATCTAAAAACAAATGTATCAAGTGTGGCAAAGTCTTCAGTTCGGGCTTACTCCTTAAAGTACATCAGAAACTTCATTTTTGAGATGATTGTTCCAAATGCAGTGAGTATAGCAAACCATCAAGCATTAAGTGACCTTAGGGTCAATTCAGCATTGACTTGAGTTTGAGTTGACTTAACATTGAGTTCAAGCATTAATTGACATTAAAGTGTTTATGTTAAGAGGATTGGGCCAGGTAGCTCACACCTGTAATCCCAGCACCTTGAGAGACCAAAAAGGTTAGATTGCTTAAGGTCAGGAGTTTGAGACCAGCCTGGCTAATAGACATGAGCTGCTTTGCCCAGCCTGTTTTTTTAACAAAAACGGATAGGGAATTTTATGGGTATTGCGTTGAATCTAAATCACACTGGGGTATATAGTCATTTAACAATAATTTTCCCATTTATCAGTATGGGTTGTATCTCTATATATGTATTTTATTTTATTTTATTTTATTTTTTTCCTGAGATGGAATCTCGATCCGTCACCCAGATCGCCCCGGCTAGAGTGTAATGGCGCAATCTCAGCTCACTGCAGCCTCTGCCTGCCAGGTTCAACCAATTCTCCTGCTTCAGCCTTCTGAGCAGCTGGGATTACAGGCAGGTACCACCATGCCTGGCTAATTTTTTTTTTTTTGGTGGTAGAAATGAGGTTTCACCATGTTGGTCAGGCTGGTTTAGAATCCTGACCTCCTGATCCACCCACCTAGGCCTCCCAAAGTGCTGGGATTACAGGTGTCAGCCACTGCACCTGGTTGTATTTATATATGTTTTTATTCTTTTTGATCAGTGTTTGTAGATTTCAAGGTATAAACTTCTCACCTTTTTATATTCATTCCTAAGTATTCCTTTTTTTTTTTTTTTTTT